GTAGGCGCTTTAGAACACTGAGCCATCTCACCAGCCCCCTTAACTCCTTCTCTATACTTCAGCTTTCTTATCGATAAGATGGGGATAAAAACAGTACCTCCACGCATACAGAATGATTGTGAGGGCTAAGGAAGTTCCTAGGAAGCCGTAAGAAGGAGCTGGCAAGCTAGGCATGGTGGGCCAGGCCTGTCATTCCAGCTCTCTAGCAGGCTGAGGCAGGAGGATGGAAAGTTTGAGACCAGGGCGGGTGACTTTGTGACTAAGGAAGACTCAGTTTTAAAACACAAAATTTTTTAAAAGTGCAAAGGCCCTGAATTCAACTCACAGTCGCATAGAAGGAGCAACTGGGGCACAGGAAGCATTACGTAAGGGCCCCACTGTCGCCTACAAGGCAGGCGTCCCTGCAGAGCCCCACCCCCACCTCCGCAGGCCCCTCAGGCGGGCTCCCCTTTGGGTGCTGTTGGGCAGTAAAGTCTCAAGGGGGAAGGACCCGACCCAGGTGTGGGGAGGCCCTCCCAAGGTGCATGCTCCGCCGAGGGCCATCCCCCGGAAGGGCAGGCTTGGGAAGGTGTCCCTCTGGTCCGTGTCCACCGTGTCCACTGGGCCTGGCACTGTTCAGCTCCTGGTTGTACCCTAAAGTCAAAGTAGTCATAAAAAGTGAATGTGTTACATCAATTCAGGACAGCAAGTCACCCGCTGAGCACAGCTGAAGACATTCTGGAAAGAGGACTTCCAGAACGGCTGCAGAAAGTGGCAAGAATGGTGGCAGAAGTGTGTCCCAAGTGCGGGAGGGTAGTGCGGGGGGGATTCATGGAAGCAGGTCTTTTTCTGTAATAAATTCTTTAACTTAAACATGCTGGGCTGGGGAGATAGCTCAGCGGTCTAAGCTCCTGCCTGGCAAGCGCAAGAACCCAGGTTCGATCCCGGGCACCACATGCTGTGCCACCCTTCAGCAAGCCAACCACTGAAATGGGTGCAGTGGTGCACACCCATAATCCCAGCGCTGGGAAGACTGAGCCAAGAGGATCACTTCGAGTCAGAGCTGCATAGCAAGACCCTGTACCAAACACATAAATTAAAAAGTAATAAAAAATAAAATGCCATTTAAAAAAATAAACATGTACTATACAATATTGTTTGGATAATCAAATGCCTATGTCATGTACTTTGAGTAACTAATTTAAAGATAACAACATGCAATGTATTAGCCATTTACCCTGTTACCTTGTTTTGAAATGTTTTTTTCTCTTTAAAATTAAAAATAAACATGTAGTATATATTATTTTTCTAGTTAAGATTTTTATTACATGTTTTCAGTACACAATGATTACACTCCTCGTGGGGAGCTGCTGCGTGGAGAGGGTACATCTCAATAATTTTTTTTCTCCTCCCCTTCTTCTCTCCCCCTCCATCTCCTGGCCCTTTTTTTTATTTTTATTTTTTTGGTGGAAGCAGGGATTGAACTCAGGCCCTTGCGCTTGCCAGGCAAGCACTTATTCTACTGAGCCATCTCCCCAGCCCTGACCCTGTCTCTTTTGCAAAAGCTCTGTCACCGTTTCCTATTATCCATCTTTTATTTTCTCCTTAATTCTTTATGCTTTGGGTTTCCATGTAAGAGAAATCACATGACTTAACTTTGTCCTTCTCTATGGCTCCACTGTGTGTAAGTATCAATTTTCCTTATCCACTCGTCTGTTGGACATACAGGCGGCTTCCAAGCTTTAGTTATTGTGAATCGCCCTCCTTCAAGCATGGACGTGCACCGGTCACTGTAATGCGGTGTGTTTCACGAGCCCAGAGCTGGCAGAGGCAAGTTGGGAATCGGAGCTGTGTAACTGGGTCTGACTGCTGGGCCAAGGTGGCCTGGGCAGCTTCCCTGGCCTGCTGTGCCCACCCCCGGGCTGCCGACTGCCCAGGCGGGGCTCCAACTCAGGATGTTCCTGCCTCAGCCTCCCAGAGGGCTGGAATGACAGGGGCGCGCCCACACACACCAGACTAGAATCCACCTTGTTGCAAAGAACAGAATTTAGACTCTGGAAACTCCGGAGTAGCCCGCAAGTCGGGGGATGGGGGGGGTTACAGGCTGGGGGGCACTGGCTAGGAAGGCCACGGGCCACGCCCAGCAGGCCCCTCCGGGCCTTCGTGTGCTGTCCTTGTCAGAAGCCTTGTTGTGCAGGGCCGGGATGCCTGCGTACCCCAGTCCCTACAGCTGGGGGGATCCCGCTTCCCGGGGAGCAGCAAGGGGACAGGAAAGCGCCCGAGAACCCCACACCCTCTCCAGGAGGAGGAGCCGCAGGTCTCCCCCACTAACGTCAGCCCCTGCGTCGTTGCCTTACACGATCGGGGAACTCTGCAGGGAGAAAACACAGAGAGAGTTGAGCTCTCAAAAGACTCAAGGATCGCCCTGCCCGCCCGTCGTCCCCGCCCCCGGGAGGCTGAGGCAGGAAGAGGGTGAGCTCCAGGCCAGCCTGGGTAACAGCAAGTTCGAAGCCAGCCTGAGCTACATGGTGAGCCCCCTTCCTAACTGAAACCCCTCTGTGCCCTGGACTCGGCTTCCCGTCCTGCCTCCTCGGATCCACGCTGCGCACCAGGGGGCAGTGCCTAAATACGTAACCCAAAACGCCCAGCGCCGGCTTCTACGCCAGGTCTCGCCCCAAGTCACTTCCGGGGCCTGCGAGACCCGGACGCCCCGCCCACCCGGGCCCGGCTCCCCGACAGCGCCCCCTGGCGGGCGACCCCTGGCTGCAGACTTGGGGCCTCGGGCCCCGCCCTCGGCAGCCGCCCGAGCCCAGACGGGCAAGTGAGGCCGGCGGCGAGCCCCCGCGGGGAACCGGCCCTGGCCCAGCCGCGAGACTCCGCTCCTCCGAGCCGGGCGCGGGCGGCGAATTGTGCGCGCTCAGCAAGGTTTCCAGGATCCGCGCCCGCCGACGTGGGTGCCGCGCGCATAAGTCATCCTGTTTTATAGACCATTAGGATCTCCGGAGAGAACCTGCTCGAGACCACTGCTTTTTGTTGAAATTAAAATGTCAGAGAAAAAGAAATAGAACAAAACAGGGAATCTGCAATTAATTACCAGGCCATAAAAATTCAATAATCAGGAGGCAGCGCGGCCGCAGGCCCAGAGGTAGCAGAGCCAGCGTAACAAGAATGGAATACATTAATCTTTTCAAATTAGTTTTTTAATCTGACGGGGATATATAGTGACAGCCTCCCTCCCCGCCTCGGTTCGGGCTGAAGCCGGCCTGGGAGCAGGAAGAGGCCTGCGGCCATCGAACCCTATAGGGGACAAGGGACCCGCGGTGCCACGGAGTCGGGCGCGTGGAACCCACGGGTCAAGGACAACGAGCCAGAAAAACGGAGTCGGGCCTGTGCACCCTTGTAATCCGGAGGCTGAGACAGGATGAGCCCGGCAGATTCAACCACAGCAGGGATTACACAGCGAGGCTCTCAGTACAAAAAGTGGTAACACCTGAAATCCCAGCATTTAGGAGGCTGAAGCAGGCGAATCGCTTCTTCCTGAGCCAACCTGGGCTACACAGAAGGGAAGGAATACTATCGCCTAGTTTCCAGCAATGCTCAGTATAGAGCCCTCTAATGTCATTATTCTCGGGTTGCAAATCTGTCCCCCGGCAGCACGGGCACCCCCAGCTCGCTGTTCCGAGATCATGCATTTGGCATCTGCGGTGTGCTTAGCCCACAGGAAGGTGGGAGCGCAGCCTCTATGCTCAAAGGAACCCACACAGACCTTTAGGCTGCCTGCAGGCTCCGCCCACACCTGGCCTGGGCCAGCCACTGATTGGCCAGAACTTCCGCTCCACCCCACCTGATTGGATGCCGTGCTCTAAACTACCCGAGACCGCCCAACCCCTGGGCCAGCTTCTAGGGGTTCTGCCCCTGGAGTCGCCGTGTCGCCCTCAGTGGCCCAGCCACTCTCACCCCACGGCGCCGCCTGACACCGTCCCCCGGGGACTCAATGCCCACCCATGTCGCCACGCGCCATGACCCATCCCAGGGCCCCGGCTCTCCGTTACTTTTTATTTTTCGATACTGAAGATCCAACTCAGGAACTTGCACTTGCCAGGCAGCGCTTATGCCACTGAGCTATCTCCCCAGCCCTTTCTCCGTTGTTATTAAGGGGCCGGACTTGGGAGGCTGAAACAGAGAGATGGTAATTTGGAGCTGGGCAACAGGCTCTTATCAAACATAAGAAGTAAAAACTGAGCTGAAAAATAAATAAATAAAACTGGGCTGAGATTGGAGCTGGGTGTGAAGGTCCTGGGTGCAGGCCTTAGTATGGGGGGGTGTCTCCACTCAGGGGGTCGGTCTTGTGCTCTTTGCACTTTGACCTGATACCAGAACAAACCAGAAACGGCGGGGTGCCCTTCGCAACCTGGGAAGCCCGGCACGCAGTAGGTGCCCAATCAGTGGACGCCAGAATGACCGCCAGCTGGTCACTAACTCAGGAGTCTTCCCGCCAGCTGGTGATCTCGCAGCAGTTGCCACTTATTGAGCACCTACTGCATCCCAGTCTGTGAAAGTTGTGGTCCCCTTTGCACAGAAAGGAGGAAACTGAGACCCAGAGACTGGCTGACCCGAGATCACAGCCTGATCCCTCCCTTGCTCTCTCGGACGCCTTTGTCACCTGCACTCGGGTCATTCTTGCTCCACTTCCAATGACACCCTCCACAGGAACATCCACTTGTGAGCTTGGGCTCGGCAGAAAGGGTGGCAAGGAGAAAGCAGCATAGCCAGAGGGCCCTCGGATTGGTACTTTCGGCTCTACGCGTCTACACTCCCCCTCCCCCCAACCCCTTATCCTCCCACCCCCTACCCCACCCCCCGCGCACAGACACCACACCCACAAATGCTTTGCCTAATCCCGGCACCTGTGTAGTTCCACATGAGGCCACCAGAGGGCGCACGTCGTCCAGTGCTGCTTGCGGGGGGCGATGGGGCCGCCAGGAGGCGCTCGAGATGCAGCTCCGCGGGCAGGGCCCGCGCAGGGTGGAGCCAAGAGCCAGAGGTGGCCATGCGGCTCCACTGCGCTCTGACTCAAGCCGCTGCCGCCACGCGCCATGACCCATCCCACGCCCCGGCTCTCCGTGCCCGCCGCGGTCGCCCTGGGCTCTGCCGCATTAGGCGCCGCCTTCGTCACGGGCGTCTTCCTGGGTGAGTGGGGCTTGATGTGTGTGCGCGCTAGAGCGGGGACGCGCAGCCCGGGCTCCAAACTCTGATCCTGCATCCTCTTCCGCAGGGAAGCGGTGGCCCCCGTGGCGAAGCCGGCGACAACAGCGCCTGCTGCCACCTGAGGACAGTCCCCTATGGCAGTACCTGCTGAGCCGCTCTATGCGGGAACACCCGGCGCTGCGCAATCTGCGGCTGGTCAGCGGGGCGGGCGGGTGGCCCCACATGGCCCGGTGACCTTGGCTGTTCGGTGGCCTCCTCTGGGATTCCGGATCCGTCCCCGCCGGGCGCCAGAACCTTCCCTGAGGACCGCACCAACCACCGCGCCCCCTGGGACCCATAACCCGAGGCAGGGTGGGTGACCCAGGATGGTGTCCCTATCCCCTACAGCTGACCCTGGAGCAGCTGCAGGGGGACTCCATGCTGACCTGTGAGCAGGCGCAGCTGCTGGCCAACCTGGCGCGGCTCATCAAGGCCCAGAAGGCCCTGGACCTGGGTAGGCGCACAGAGGGGGCCCTCGGGACCGGGGACCCGAAGTGCCAGCGCTGAGCTGTGCGCACCCCGGTCCCCAGGAACCTTCACTGGCTACTGCGCGCTGGCGCTGGCGCTGGCGCTGCCCCCTGCCGGGCGCGTGGTGACCTGCGAAGTGGACGCGGGGCCCCCGGCTCTGGGGAGGCCCCTGTGGCGAGAGGTGAGCGTTGTCACCCTGGGTGTTGTCGGCCCAGTAGAGAAGCCGCGGCGCTGACCTTCCTCCTCCTGCAGGCTGAAGCGGAGTCCAAGATCGATCTGCAGCTGCGGCCTGCGCTGGAAACCTTGGGTGAGTGCTGGGCACTGCCAGCACCCAACGCCGCCTCTCAGGGCACGGCCGCGTGCGAGTGCACCTGTCCATCTCTCCCCCAGACGAGCTCCTGGCGGCGGGCGAGGCTGGCACCTTTGACATGGTGGTGGTGGACGCGGACAAGGGGAACTGCGCTGCCTACTATGAGCGGTGTCTGCAGCTGCTACGACCTGGAGGCGTCCTCGCCATCCCCCGAGTAAGGACCCCGTGGAGGACAGGATACCTGCCAAGGGCTGGGTCCTGGGGCCTCCCACGTCCCCCTGCTTTCCCAGGGCACTGGGAACCTCCCCTCGCTAGGCCCTAACGCCTGTGCCCATTAACTCCACCCCATGATGTCCCGGGCTCCCCACAGGTCCTGTGGCAGGGAGAAGTGCTGCAGCCTCAGAAAGGAGACAAGGAGGCCGAGTGTGTACGAAATCTGAACGAACGCATCTGGAGAGACGCCAGGGTCCACATCAGTCTCCTGCCCCTGGGTGATGGCCTCACCTTGGCCTTCAAAATCTAGGGCTCGCCCCTAGCAAGTGGGTTTGAGGGAGGCTGAACCAGGCCCTGACCCTAATTTTTTAAAGTCAACAATAAAATAGGACTGGGGCCTATGGCCCCCAGAGCCTCCTCCCTGGTGCTGAGTCCGGGGGTGGGGCAGTCCAGTTACAGCAGTCAGCCCTCCTGGCACTGTTTCCTGACCTGATCCTGGGAGGATGTAGCTTCCACCCTGCCTTTCGGGGTACGAGGCCCTGTGAAACCAACACCCACATGTGCACGGCGCACATGCTCTTGATCTACCTGGCCCCCTCTTCGGGCTGAGGAAATTTCAGGTCAGTACAGTAGGATGAGTGGGGAGGACCCCAAGGTGGCAGTGGGAAGGGGCACCTGCAGCGACCAAGATGGTCGTATACCTTGGAAGCCTTTGGTTTTTTCACAACTGTGGGCTCCCCACCGCCACCCCCTGAAAACCAGGCCTGAGACCTGCATACACCCTCATTACTACACCCTCACCGCCACCCCACTACCCGCAGTCGGAAGGTCCAGGCAGGTGGAAAGCACAGGCCTGTCTGTAGATAGCAACCTCCCAGAGGGCAGGATGTCACATCTGGCACCCCTTTCGAGGGTAGAGGGGCCTGGGTGATAGCTTAGTGGAATAAGCACTTCCCTAGAGGAGGGTAGAAAGGGACCCCGCAGGCTCTGTTGAACACCTTTAAGCCAAGCGCTCTGCCTGTCCAAAGCTCCAGGCCCCACAGGAAGGTCTCGCCTCAAGAGAGGCGGTGCTCTCCTGGGTTAGCCCTTGACGTCCCTAGGTTGGGGGTGTCTGGAGCACATCTAAGGTGGCTGGATCTGAGTAGCAGGAACCCGAAAGGACTTTTCTCGTGACTCATTAGGCTAATAGGGTGCACGTCCGGGACTGGGGACAACGCACTTGAAGACGCACCACACTCACTGTGCACACTGCAGGTACGGACCAGATGGATCCCACTGTAGAGCTCATCAGCCAGAGGCCCAGAGCCACCCCAAGGACAAGGAGCTGCTCCCTCCCCGCTTGCAACACCGGTGTCCTGAGCACCAGGGCCTGGCTCCATGGCAGCCTGCTGCCCAGCCTCGGGTGTGTCCGGGAGCCTGAGCCTGCTGGAGAAGCCCTCTTCAGTCCATGTGCTCCAGCCAATCCCTCAGGAGAGCCCAGGAGGGCCTCTGTGCACCAGTCCCATGAGGAAACTCTGACTAGGCTTCACCCTCTTGGGCTCTTCCTACCCCAGGCTGGTAGCATGCAGGAGTTCTTGAGAGCTGGGTTCTAAAGTATCCCATCTTGTTGCTTTTCCATCTTCAAGGCGGATCAGTGTTGGATGTGCTCACCAACTCTCCTCTATCCTTTCCATTTTATCAACCCTCTACTCCCAGGAGAAAACTTGCTTTCCTACTTTAAAATTTAAAACACTTTTATTTGTTACAGGGTCTTGCTACACAGCTCAGACTCATAGTGATTTTCCTGTCTCAGCCTCCCTGGCACAGCAGGGCATGCAGTACAGGGATCAAACCTGGGTCCTTGTGCTTGCCAGGCAGGCACTGAGACCAAGCTCAGCTATCTCCCCACCCTGCTCTTTCTTACTTTTCCAACCAAAATCACACATCAATGTTAACCACTCATGTCCAGATAAAAGCTACCCCAGGCTTATTCCTCCACATAACTTCTAGCAGCGTCTGCCTGGAAGGAAACAGTCATGACTTCTCACTAGGGCTTATTCAGCAGCAGACCAAACAACAGTGTTGTGTTAAACACACACTCTTTAGGGCCAGGGAGATGGCTCAGTATCCCTGGTTCCACAAAAAGGGAGAGGGAGAGGGAGAGAGAGAGAGAGAAAACTCCACCTACCTGGCAAGCAGAAGGTCCTGAGTTTGATTCCCAGTACAAAAAAATGCAGAGCTAAGTGTGGTAATACACACCTATAATTGCAGCACTCAAGAGGCTGCGGCAAGGGGATCCAAGTTTGAGGGCAGCCTAGACTATAATAGTAAGACCCTGTCTCCAAAACATGTAAGTATGACAGTAAATGTCAATGCCATTAATCCTCTTTAAAATACTCTCACTTCAAATACTTATCCCATCATTCTTGCCACTTTATGAAGCAGTTCTAGAAGGTCTTGTGTCTTCATGATCAAAAATATTATAGTGAATGGGCTGGGGATACTGGTCAGCGGCATAAGCGTCTGCCTGGCAAGTGCAAGGTCTCGAGTTCAATCCCCAGCACCAACACACACGCACACACACACAAATATTATAGTATCACTGCCGCCAAGTGCCATCTGAAGGCAAGGCAGGCTCGGAAAAAACACTGACATATCCTCATGCACCCAGTCAGCTCTCAGCAACTTCTGGCTCTTCTTTAGAGTCAAAATGACCATGAAAGGTAAACATTTTTAACACGAAGGATAACTGCAACAACTGATGGCACACATGAAAGAGGACTTCAAGAACTGCTTCAGAAGGTGGCGAGAATGGAATGTGTTTAAAGCAAGGGGAGAGTACTTTGAGAACCAATGAATGTGTAATACAATCTTCAACACTATTTTTGATCATGGCCTCTGTGGTAGTCTAGACCGGATGGTGAACCTTTTAGAGCTCTCAACCACCAGCTGGCTTCAGCATGTGAAGCTCACCACCACTGCTCTGTCTTCCGCTACTCCCCATCTCACCAGCTTACTGCTCAGTGCATTTTCTGTAGCACTAACTCTTAGGAGTTTGACACAAAGCATAGATCCTTAGCAGCTTCAACTCTACATCCCCTGCTCTCTCCACATGTGCCTGAGGCCAACAAGGCCCCTGCGTAACTACACAGCTCTGAAGAAAGAGTATCCTCTTACTCTAATCTCAGAATGCTGGTGGAATTTACAGGTGCTCACCAGAACAAGTGTCTTGGTATCAGGGAGAGCTGACCCTAACTGGCATACCTTTTAACTCTGCAAATACTTGGAGCCATTAATTTGTATACTTGTTTTATTCACTGTGATACCCTCAGATACCAAAAGTAGATCTGATGATGGCTGAATTTAACAAAAAAATATTAACCTCAACTTCACTTTCCTGTCATTCAATGGCAATATTCAAATGTTAAAAGGAACATAAAAACAAACATGCACACAACTGCACAGTTTCATAAAGGTCTATTTCATTATTGGTGGGTAGCTCTTTTAACAGTTAAATACATTTAAATAATGTATAGGTGACTGCATGACTGCAGCATTGGTAACTAGATAACGAATTCAACTAGAAACCAACTAATAAGGTAACTGTCTAAATATTTAAAATACAGCTCTTGTTTAGATCCTCTGTTTGATCACCTTCTTAGGGGAAAATAAAAGCCTGCTGGTCAAAATGGAAATATATTAAGGCCAAATCTGATATCCACTGCCAGAGGTCTCTTTCAGCTGGATTAAGCCTCCAATTCGAGGGCAAGCCCAAGCTTGTGGCCTCCAGCGTTAATGCTCTTCCCATCCACCAGGGCAGACAGTGTAAGCTTCACACCTGTAAACAAAGCAAAGCACCATGATGGGCCTGAAGCACTTCCCAGCCCCGAGTTCACCAACAGCCACCCAGAGCCTGCCTGCCTGCCTGCCTGCCTGCCTACCAACCGCCAGTCGAATTACCAGTGTCAGCCACCAGGGGGAGCTTGGAAGCAGCAAGGTACTAAGAAGTCTGATTTCAAAGTACCAAGTCACAGAGCATAAAAATGCTGCTTCCAAATGTTCTAGAAAATGTTTACACTATTCAGACTGAAAGACAATAGAAGAATGGAATAATAATTGGATCTAGAAAGGAAAAACAACAATCAAAAGACATTTGGGGACAGGTACAAGTAGAAAAACCTGAATACAAACTACCTATTAGGAAAATTGACATTAAAGAAATGGTATTGCAGTTATGAAGAAAAAACTCTTACTCTTGGGCTACAAATATTAGGGCAAGTCTGTCTACATGTCTGCAAAACATTTCTTCAGACTTTTCTTCAGGTTTGAGAATAGTTTCAAAATAAATCTTTTGGGGGGAAAATATCTGCTCAAAGAGGAAAATGGTCCCAGTACGTTAGACCCCTGCTCATCAAATGGCAAATGGAGGGGAGGGGCAGACAGAGACAAACGATGACACAGTGAAACTGAGACACTAAGCATTGAGGCAGAGAGACAGACAGGGGGAAGAACCTGAGGCCTTGGGAGCTCATTACAAGTACAGAGCTCTGCACCCCAGACCCAGTGGATCAGGATCTGCACTGAAACCGACTCTGCAGGTCACTGACAAGCACATTCAAATCTGAGAAGTGCTACTCCAGAAAACACACCAAGGAACAAGTGTTATGTGAAGTAAACAAGCCTCTAGAGACCAAAGCAACCCAAACAGGTAAAGTCTAAACAGAAACTACAAGTATTTTCTTCTATAGATACAAGTAAGAAAATAGAATGGAGAATGGTCACTGCTTTCTTCCACAGAATAGAACATTCGTATCCTGGGACAGATCCAAATACCATGTCAGGATAAACCGGCCTTTCCCATGGCTCAGGGAGGGTGGGAGAAAGGGGAAGAAATAATCGAGTCTTCCATATACTTAAAAGAAGCTGAAAAGTAAAAGCTTTTTAAACTAAAGTCAAGACAATCCCACTGTATGAATACTTACCAGGCCTCAGAGTCTGAGTGTAACCCACTCCAATTAAACTAGAGTTGTTGACCTTTGCCTGAAACAAAATTCAGAAGCAACCATAAGAAAACTTTTTGAACAGAAAGATATTTCCCTATCATTTCATTACGAAGAGTTCAACTTTTTGATCTACATATGAAAGACATGATACAATTTACTATTGTACCGTGGGCCAAAGAAAATCCAGTGCCACACTTAATTCTCCTCCATGAAATTAGTATCAAATTTTGGAGGGAAGGCTGTGCACCATGGGACACATCTGTAATCCTACTCAGGAAGAAAAAGCATCAAGTTCTAGGCCAGCCTGGGCAACTTAGCAAGACCCTGACTTAAAATAAAAAAAAAAAGGAATGTGGATGTAGCTCAAAGGCAGAGCACCCCAAGGTTCAAACCCCAGCAAAAAAAGAAAGAGTATTTTAGTGGAGCCCAAGCATA